GGGCCCGAGGCGCGGCTCTGTAGCTGTCTCTGACCGCCCACTGCAGCCCTAATGAGTCGGGGCTCTGACAGACGTCGCCGATGCCCGATGCATTTGGGCGCCAGTTGATGGGGGGGCGATACTGAAGGGGCCTAAGGACACACAAATAGATACACACAAACAACAGGATTCCCCATATTTTCCCATACGTTCTGGGTTTTTGTTTTCCCCCCCACTTCCCATATGTTCCACATGTTCTGGGGAATCGACGATTAATTGTGTCTGTGTGTTTTTGTTCCCTCCTCAATTTGGGCGCCAGTTAATGGGGGGCGATACACGGCGACGCCGGGGGGGCTGGAGAAGAGGGGCCACTCCAGGCCCCTGGAAGGGACCCCGAAGTGCCCAAGAGGGGGGGGAAATCGGACCCGAATACAGTCGGGCCGCTGAAAGAAGGAACGCTAAATAAGGAACGAAGCCCCTTCTTGGCCCTGTAAGCGCCTCCGTGCCCCAGGAGGGCAAGAGGAACAGCACTGGAGGAACCTAAGGAACATCGAGCCCCTTCCGAACCCAAGCTGCTCCTTATTTCAGCGTCTTGACTGTACAGTGAGGGCGCGGAACCCTCGCAAGAAACCCAACCCTGAAAACCCGCGCGCGAGGTGCGCCTGAGGGGAATCCGGGAGCCAGCAGCTTCTTCCACGGCTGCGGGAAGTCACCGCGCAGCGGGCGGAGCGAAGAAACCCAGGATCTGGGCATCGCTCGGACGTCTATTCCCTGTGTTGTTTTCCGGTTTCGTGCGCGGCTTCTTCGCCAAATGATCAAGGATGCTCCTCGATGGTCCTCGTCAAAAGAAAAATGCACACGTCCGAGCGGTGCCAAAGGATACCCTGACGAAAAGCACATGGCTTCTTGATGCGCGCCCCCACTGCAGGACACCCCTCCTCCCCCCGCATTCCCAGACCCCCGACGTCGTGAGTGTTCACAAGGGTTTCCCCGGGACCGGTTTCTCATCCCATAGGGAGCTCTCCCTAAGGTCCCAGTGGCGAACCCGCATGGCGGCGCCGCCCCAGTTTGGCACACCCCTCACACGCGTCGTGGCCCCACAGGGAGCTCCACCGACGGCTCCAGCGGCAGGGGCGCACGATGCGCGAAGGCGACGGGGCGAGGAAAATGCGCCCTGGGGCAGTTTACGGCCAGACTTTCTGGCCGCGGGCAGTCCTCAGCCAGACCTCGATCCTGTGGACTCTGGGCCGTCGTTTTTGACGGTCCCGAGGCCCGGCGAGAACCTCCCGTCGTGTTGTTGTTCATGACTCGAAGGGGGTCTGGTCTGGGTGTATCGCCTCCCCATTCCTTGGACGCCCTGGATACGGAAAAAAAACAAATACAATGACCAACAACAACTATTGCTCGAAACCGACAGCGGCCGCTGTTGGGCAGGCGACTCTTCTCCAATGAACAACATCCACGGCAACACAAAACAAATTCCATACCAAATTCTTTCCGTGCCCGTTTCGATCCACCCGACATTACTAGAGGCCTCCTAGATGGGGTCGGAGAAGATGGGGTCGGGGGATCGCGGCGCATTGCCGACACATCGGCGATGCATCGGCGACGTATCGGCGAAGCATCGGCGATGCACCCGCCATGCATCGTCGACGTGGGCGATGCATCGGCGGCGTCGACGTGAAGCACATCGGGCTCCACATCGAGCCGCATCGGCGATGCACCGGCAACGCGGCGGGATCCTCCGACCCCACCTACTCCGACCCCATCTGGGAGGCCTCTAGAGGAAGGGGAGGGGGAGGAGGGAGAGGAGGAGGAGGAAAGTAGGAAGGAGTGGAACGGAGAGGACGGATGGTGAGGAGGATGAGGTGGAGGAGGAGGGGGAGAAGTGTGAGGAGGGTGGGAGGGACGGCGGAGGAGGAGTGAGGAGTGGAGGAAGGCGTGGACGGGGGAGGAGTGAGGAGGAGAGGAGGAGGGGGAGCCCTTTGAGATGAGTCGCTCCGCGCCGAACTGGATCGCCGAACCGCCGCCACCGGACCTGCGTCTACTGCCGCCCGCGCCTCGCCGGCGCGCCTCGGTCCGCGTGCCCTGCGCGCGCGCCTCCGCGCGGGCCTTCCGCCCGCGCGAACAGATAAAAATCCGAGCACAAGAAAGAGGAGACCCAAAAGTGCGGACGAGAAAAAGGCTGGCCTGACCCACGGGGGGGGAGGGGGGGGGGCCTGCTGGCTGCTGCTGCTGCCCCCCCCTGGGGTCGCCTCTCCCTCCTCCTCCTCCTCCTCCTCTCCTTCTCTCCTCCTCCTCCTCCTCCTCCTCCTCGTCCTCCCCTTCCTCCTCTCCTCATCCTCCTTCCTCTTTCCCTTCCTGAGCGTCGTCCTCCGCCTCCTCCCTCCTCCTCCGCCTCCTCCTCACTCCTCCTCCTCCTCCCTTTTGCATAAGAACACGCAAGGGATGAACCTGCCCTCGCTCCTCCTCCCCTCCTCCTCCACTCCTCTTCCGCCCTGCCTGCTCTTCCTCCTCCTGCTCCTGCTCCTCCTCCTCCTCCTCCTCCTCCTCCTCCTCCTCCTCCTCCTACGGCTCGCCATCGCTCGGACGTCCATTCTTCGTGCACTTGTCGATTTCGTGCGCGTAGTTTGCGCAAAATGGCCGCAGATACTCCTCGAAGGTACTCAGCGAGGAGATGTGCACACGTCCGAGCGGTGCCGAGACGACGAAGCCAGGAATAGGGTAACATCCGAGCAGGATAGATCGAGAATCTCTGAGGTCCAGCGGCACTTGAGGATGTCTCGGGCGCCGCGGCCTGCTAAAAGCGTTCAGAATCTCTGAGAGCGTTTCGGAACGCTTTGGAACGAATGTATCCTCGTCCTAGCCCCGTCCGAAGACCTCCTCCTCCTCCTCCTCATCCTCCTCATCCTCCTCCTCCTTCTCCTCCTCCTCCTTCTCATTACGTTCGCAAGCAGCTCCTGAGAGGTCTTCGTCAGAACAATAAAAAATGCGATTGAGGAGACCGTCTTGCCATGAGGCTGGACAGGCCTTAAGGCCAAGATGAAACAGCACACTCAGCGGATTTGACCAGGAGTCTGTCGGACTCGGCCGGGTGTGGACAGAGGATAGAACTACCAGCGGCAATGCTGAACTGAACGTCGCAGGAACGCCTGGTCGCGGTTGCACTGCGACGCCGTACAAACACTCTAGCTTCTGAAACCCGTCCGCCCGATAGAATAGTCTTGCTTCGCTTTTGATCTGGCCAGAGGTGGCGGCCTGTGGACGCGACTGGTCTGAAGTGCCACTGCCAGCTGATAATCTCAGACTTGCACTGCATACGAGCTCCTCCCTCCACCTCCTCTGCCTCGGCCTCCGCCGCCTCCTCCCGTCTTCCCCTTCCTCCCCGCATCCTCCGCCTCGCTGGGCCCGAGATGGGGTCGTGGTCGTCGTGGTCGTCGTGGTCATGGTCATCGAGCGGCCCAAGATGGCTCCAAGATAGCTAACCCGCCTGAGCTGTTCCTTGATGGGCTGGTGGGGATGCGCGAAGCGTCAAACATTTCGATGCGGGTCCGGCCGTGACGGCGAGAACCCTGTGGGAGGTCCGACATGGGAGAAACGCATCCCAAGGAGACTCAACATCTCGACCTCCCGAGCTCGATTCCCGATGGCGTGGAGGTAAACGCGCGCCGAGGAAAACGGGCCTTTGGTGAAGAGCAGCCGCTCTGGCGCAGGCCGCGACGCGCGAAGCGCGGCCACCTTGGCGCCACCGCGGGTGACCTGTCCCGCGGAATGCACGTGCGCACTGTACCGCGGGAAGCACGTGTGCACTGAACCACGTCAGCGTCTCCCGAGGCGTCGTCGGCCCTCGGCCCAGGAATGGTTCTGTGCACTGCTCTTCGGCCTGCAAGGCCGAAGAACTATGCACCGAAAGGCGTCGGAGCAGGCCCCGAAGGGAGTCGAAACCCGGTGCGGTTGCAGGGGCGAAGTCCTCGCATCTTCTCTCTTCTGCCCGCCCCCCGCCGTCTCCCCCACGCCGCCCTAGTTCCTCGTGTCCTCCTCCTCCTCCTCCTCTTCCTTTTCTCCTCCTCCTCCTCCTCCTCCTGCTCCTGGTCCTCCTCCTCCTCCTCCGCCACTCCTCCTCACACACACACACACACAGCGAGAATCCGAAGCACCGAAGTGGAGCTACTGTTGCTACTGCAGCTGCACGCCGCTCAAGGCGCAACGGACGGAGAGGGAAAAAGAAAAGAGAGAAGAGAAGAGAGATGTGAGCCCGACCCAGCTCCAGCCCTGCTTTGTGCGGCCTCTGCCACATGCGGGTGAGGGGATGGGAGGGGGCGCCCATTCCTTGCCAACAAACCACCTGATCCCCATATTCATCACCTGCCTTCTCTGGGAGCCCCCTTAAGGCCGAGGGCTCTGGTCCATTGACCTCCGTGCCCCTGCTTGCAATCGGAGGGGAGGGGCAAGTGGATCCCCAGTAAGAGAGGGACCCAGGGAAAGGGGCGGAGAGGGGGGGAGGCTGGGCCAGGCCAACACGCCGTGGGCCCATTCAGTTCATGTTGCTGGCTACTCGCACAACTTGGGGCGCTCTGGAAACGCCTCTGGCTGCCAGCCACTCTGAAATTACAGAAGTACTCCCCACCCACATGGAGCCCGTCCATACACACCTTCACCCAAACGCGGCAGTCCTGTGCAAGCGGCACAGCAGCATGCAGGGGTTGGGCAGGGGAGGAGGGGACTGGGGATGGATTAAGATGGGCGGGGGAAGGGAAGTAGTGGAGCAGAAAAGGGCTCCTGAATCTACATTCCCTGATTGCTTTCGCTAGTCCTGTGCGAATCTGATCATGTTTCCTATTGAGACATCATGGTGGGATTGCTGCTGCCTGGCATGCACAGACTCTGAGACACAACTCGAATGGGCCCAAGTCTGGCACCCTCTACAGCAATGTGTTGGCTTCAGTTTCTTGCATCTCCCACCGCAAAATGTATAATGTACACTTGGTTGTTGGAGCAGTCACTTCCAAGAACAAATCAACTCCGTTCAGATTGAGACAGCGAGCGCACTCCAGGGTCTCCGCCTGAGCTTCTGGAAGCTGCTCATCTTCGGTATCCTTATGGCTGGGGCTGACCCCGCGCCCCTCCTCGGAGACACCGCGCACTGGTGCGGACACCTCGCCCTGCTCTGCGATGAAAAAGCTCACTTCGGAGTTGCCGATCTCAACTGGTGCCGCGGCTCTTCCGGAGGCAGCTGGGCTCGACATCCGCGGGGCGACGCCGAGCTGCGAACTGTCATTATGGAGACTCCCGATCGTGTCCTGCAGCTCCTGCAGCGTGTCGGCGTAGCTGTGGTCAGAGCCGCTCTGCGCTTCCAGGGTGTCATCATCTTGGCCGACGTCCGAGGAGATGTCGACATGCATTGCTTGAGGGGGCAGGGATGTGGGTGGTACTGACCTCGTTGCACTTGAAAGGCAACGCCACCAACGAGAGATATCGTCCATGCTGATCGCACCGAGGTCCGCGCTGTCACAAGGCTCCCTGTTGACAAGGTCGATCTTCTGCTCGCTCTGGCAAGACTCCGACATGTCAACCTTCTGCGACTTCCTGCCCGCCTCTAACCAAAAGAATTTGGCTTCGAGGCAGTCAACCCGCTCAAGCAGCCCAATGGTGAAATTGAACTAAAATTGAGCACCTTCAGCTGGTCCTCCAGCTGGGCGAACGTCTCCTTCCACTCGGTGTGGTTGTGGTCGCTCACCACCTGGCGCTCATGTGAACGAATTATATACTGATGCTTGCCAAGACCTGCAACCGTTGCCTCGCATCCCGATGTGGTCGTAGCCTCACTGGCCGAAGCTTCAGCAACATGAGCCCGAAGTCCGTCAAGGATACGTTGTGGGAGAGATTCATCAGCTGGGTGAGCCACTGCACAGCGACCCGCTCGCCAGCTGTCAAACTCTCTTGCCAAAGTCTTGTGGCCGCGCATCACAAGGCCAACGCGTGCATCTTCCGTTGATGCCTTGCGTTCGAGCCGTAGCAACTGTTGGGCCTCCTGGAGGAGACCTTGGCAGCCGTGGAGGCACTGCATGCCTCGGGTGGCATCCAAATCACCATTTAGCTCCTTCATCCCCTGCGCCGCAGCTTGGACGGCGCCAACGTGAGTCACCGTGTTGCCGTGACGAACGGTGAAGCCACCACGCTGGCGAAGCATGGCTGGCGCGCGAATCGCCCACTCACCAAACGACGGTGGGGGCAGCCGTATGAAGACAATGCAGACAGCGCAAAGTGCAGTATCGAACAAAATCTTGAGCCCAAATGGCTACGGACCCCCTCCTCCTCCTCCTCCTCCTCCTCCCCTCCTCCTCCTCCTCCTCCTCCTCCTCCTCCTCCTCACCCTCCTCGTCCTCCTCCCCCTCCCCCTCCTCCCCTTCATATTATTAGTTTTCTTCTTCTGAGTAATAGCATCATGATTATTATCCTTCGTATTAGGTATATTAACATTACTGATCATATTAATCGTAGTATGAATATTTGTATGACGTGTTTATTCGCAGTTTGCTTAGTATGCTTAGTATTGTAATTATGCTTGGCAGGAGTAATCTTATTATTAGTCGTCATAGTCTTCGTCGCATTTGTATTATTCGTACACTTCTTATGAAGCTGCATATTATGTGTAGTATTAGTACTACATCATGTGATGTTAGTAGTATGCGTCTTCTTCATAATTTAAGTTTCATGTCCTGCTTGTTCTTATTATTGGCATTATTCCTCTTCCTCTTCCTCCTCATCCTCTTCCTCCTCCTCCTCCTCCTCCCGGTCCAGAGGCCCAGGGACCTGCCCAAACCCCGGACCCCTCCCGAGGTACGCTCCGACCCGCACTCTCGAGGCGCCAACCGGCCCTTGGCGACGAGGGCAGGGGCGGCGAGGCGAGGTCGGGAACGGGGTCTCCCCGTCCTGACAGGGCGGCCTGGAAGAGGGGCAGGCCTACGTGCGATGCCCTCAGGGAGCCGAAAGGCCTCCTCCTCCTCCTCCTCCTCCTCCTCCTCCTCCCTCCTCCTCCTCATCCTCCTTCCTCCTCCCCGCCGCCCTCCTTCCTCCCCCTCCTCCGCCTCATCCTCCTCCTCCCTCCTCCTCCCTCCTCCTCCTCCTCCTCCTCCTCCTCCTCCTCCTCATCCCCCCCATCCTCCTCCTCCATCCTCCTCCTCCTCCCCCTCCTCCCTCCTCCTCCTCCTCCTCCTCCGCCTCACTCCGCTCCTCCCTCCTCCTCTCCTCTCCTCCTCCTCCATCCTCTCCTCCTCCTCCTCCTCCTCCTGCCCTCCTCCTCCTGCCCTCCTCCCCCTGGAGAAGGAGGAGGGCAGGGAGGAGGAGAGGAGGCCCGTGCGTCGCCGCTCCGCGGGGCAGCGAAGCACGAGGGCACGCCTCTGTCTGTCCTCCCCAGATGGTGGGGAGGGGGCCGCAGCGGGCCGAGCGCGAGGGCACGCCGCCTCGGGGCCCGCCTCCTCCATGGCCCCACTGGGGGGCCACACGCGAAGCCTACCCCCCCCCCC